CCAGCTGCCCCTGCTCCCTTCCAGACCCTCAGTCCTTCCTGTCACCTTTTCATGACTGCATTATCCAGAACGAGGCTCCCTGTGTCGCTGGGAAATCACCGTTTGGTGTTGCTGCCCCCCCCCCCCTCCCCTTTCCTCCGTTTATGAAGTACTGTAGGAGATGTTCAAAGCCACGCGCCGCATCCTCAAAGGAGCACTGCTGCTTTGTTACCTGCTAATCCCCCCGTGCATTATCACAGGAGATGCAACTGAGCAACAGAGCATGACGGAGGCAACAACGGAGACATGACAAGCTCTCCGTGCATGAAGCGCTTTGTGTCGCCAGGCTGTACATCATTTGATTAGGTATCAAAGCTTGTTATGATGACAAACCAACCTGTGTTCAATAGAATTAAATGTTTTGGATTATAGACACAAAAAGCAACGACTCAATAAAAGGGGATTTATCTGGTAGCAGCGACACTTATCATGAATACTGTTCTTGTTTTATGTGCCATTATCAATGTTTCCTTGAAGAGTGAGAGCATCCAGGCCCACAGTACTCCTTATTACACTTCAATGAGTTGAGCTGAAAATTGCATGCAGCTGCTGACTGCAGAGTTTGACCTGAGCTCGAAAAACCACTCAGTAACTGACCTGTCAACACTGTGAGACAGTTAGCCTGAATGCTGTCTGTAGGGGGTTACATAAGACAAGTATTTATTATGTCATTTCTTACTGATTTCTGAAATTCAAATGGTCATATATAGATTTAAATATCCAAAGATTGTGTTGTCGCAAGAAGCGTGAGTTCCACTTTAGGAAAGGGTAAACCCCCAAAATCATATTAGGGCCTCTTTAAATTGCCATATAAATCAACATGTTCTGTATATGATAAATATAGCTAAACATGATAACAAAATAAGGGCATCCTGAGCCTTTACTGTTTATTCTGTACACAAAGCCTGAGTTAGAAAAGCAGCAATATTACATTTTAAGCAGTTAAATGCTCCAACAGTGATGACATTCTGCATGTAAAGGATGCAATGTCTATTCAAATGCATAAAACCATGATCCGAGTTAAAGGGTGAAGGAAGTAACACTCAAATAAATTATTCTCACAGTTAAGCATTCTGGATACAACAAGTTGTCTCAGTAAAATAGAGCCTCACTGTTTGAAACAGGAAGAGATGATAACTGTTATTATTTTCCAACTAAATTGGCAGTTAAGATAGGCACTTCATGCAAAGTCATTCATGGAAGAAAAAAAACTGTGGGGAACAAGCAACAGATAAAAAAAAAAGCCAAATATTTTGTGTGTTAAGTGTTTTAGCTTCTCTCTCAGTAGTCAGAAATAGAGTGCTTTCTTCAGAGCGGCATGGTTTTTCTTATTTATTCTATTATTTGTGTTAAGTTGTGCCATCTTGATCCTCTCTTCCCCTCTTTGCCTGAGGAAAGGCTCATTGGCCAGACACGTCACATTAAAGAGCAGCGTCTCACTGAGCATGTCACAACCTGCCCAGGGGGGGTGTGAGTGTGTTTATGTTTTATCCTTAGGACCCCCGATTGTTGTTCATTTCCTGTGCCAAGATTAAATAAGCACATAAACGCCAACATGTGCTCTTCCTCGGCCCTCACCCACATCACGACACTTTTCCGCACAAGTGGCTGGCTACGGATAATTATACAATTAAAACAATTCTCCGCATCTATCCGTCAGCCTGATCTAATTCACCAAAGGAATGACACTAATGGAGTTTTTCTGTCTCTCCTTCCTCAAGCAAAGCCTTTTTCCCTCACAACACAGCTCAGAGAAGGAAAACAGAGAGAGTTGTGTTTGTTTAGCAGGATGTATGTGGATAATGTTGAGACGCGGCAGTTATTTTTATTACGACCCGCAGTTCAGCAGGGAAATGGGGAGGTTCATTTGATTGTTGGTTCAAATTAACCCTGGGGTGAGGAGAAAAGAAGAACCGGGGTGACCCTCTTATTTTCTGAGACAATACTCGCTTCAACCGAGACCGACATTAATAATTCATCGTGACAAAATGCATTACCAGGGAAGCTCGAAGTGAAAGGAAGAGTTGACAGAAAAACAGTCACATTAGGGCCGCCGTATAGCGTGTGCTTGGGATCAGACCATGTTGATTGGCAAGCCTAAATTAAGTTAGCCGGGGGCTGAGGCAAATGTTCGTAGTGGCCAAACGGTGGTACAACAACTTCAATGAGAGACCGTGTCATAATTTAGGCCCGAAAAGACGTAACGGAGCAGATTGGAGGCAGGATTTAAAAAGGGCGCTATTCTGCTTTTTGGGTTTTTCCCTTTCCTTTTGTGTGTTATATAGGTTTCTGTGTTTGTAAATGGTCTGCAAAGGCTAAAATCAAAAGTTCCCTCCAACGGGAGTTTCCCCCTGCCTGAAACGCCTCCATTGGACTCCTTTGTTCACTTAAAAGTAGCATAATGACATCATTAGGTAACACGAGCACTTCTATTGGCTAGCGTCCCAACACTTTGTACATGATAAGCTAAGGGGCGGGACATATCTAAGCAGTTGACCAATCACAACAGAGCCGGACAGCTAACCAATTAGAGCTTAAAGCTTGGTAGCAGCAAGTAAAAAATGTAATCTTACTGTTTAAATGAACATGCATTCATATATAAAATTAATATGAATTTTAAGTGTAGTTTCTGGTCTGAAGAGAAGTATAAACTAACACTGTGTCATTGTAGCACAGCACAGGGTGTGTGAGGGAAACAGGGAGGATTTAGTCAAACTTTGACCTGGATATCCTGCATGTCCGTCCACCCAGCATGCACCAGGAACAGGGATAGGAACCACTCCTACACAAGTTCAAGGGGAAATGCTTGCATGGCGTGGCTGTGCACTCTTACCCAGCAGAGAGTTTTATGTTTATGAGCTCTGCTGATGGGGATGCGCACATCCATTAGATATGAGTCCTCCTATAGAGAAGGGGCTCTGGTATTAACCCGCAAGCAAGTGCCCCATCAGCAGAGAGGAAAAAGCTGCCTTTTATGGCAACGGATCAGAGACTCAAGCCATTGGCTGCAAAGCCCACAAATGAGGCGTTAAGTGTAGTGGCAGGGCAGCAGAGAGAAATGACCCTCTGCTCAGCCACGCATGAACCTGCCCTCTGCCTCCTTCCCTTTCTCTCCGTCTTGCTCTCCACCACCTCCCCCAACAAAATAAAAAAGGAATCAAAGCATGCTTAACGGCCCGACAACCACCAAATAACAACTGTCACCTGCAGCAAAATTCATTAAAGTATTGGTGACGTCGCGGCCGTGTAATGTCATTTTTATAATTGAATATTAATTCTTCTTACGCAATATTTGGAGGGATTCCTAATGGACGTTTTCTGTAATTAATTGCCAGATAGAGGCAGGGCGAAGTTAAAAAACACAACCTGACATGGAGATTGGGAAAGAGAGTGCGGCGAGGCGGCCTGCTGGGAAGGTTTCATCATTGCGCCTGACCCCCCCCCTGCTGCTGGAGATGGGGGAGATAGACTCCTCTTCACAGTCAGAGATTTAATTGCACGCAGATTCCATTACCTCTGCACAAATGTCACATTCTCTTCTGATCAGGGGGCACGGCAGCCACTGGCAAGCAGCCAGACTGTAGTGCAGAAAGTGCTCAGCCAATCAGAGCTCAGCGTGCGGACAGAGGTGAGTGGAGGGACAGGAAGACGACAGAATGAAGAAGATATTAAAAAACAAAAAGGAGAACACAAAGCTGCTGACGGTGCAACTCTGAGATTGAGGGCAATGTGCTGGATTAACAGATATTTAATTAAATGAATTTATTATTGTCATTACTATTATTAATACTATTAAATGTTGGAGCACTAATTCTCATATTAATACATTTGAAAGATATTAAAATTGTGCCGTACTCTATTTAAAATGTATTAAATACTTACATCTCAATTATTGACAAGGTTAGAGGAAACAGAGTGGATTGACTGGTCGAGGGAAAATAGAATTGATGCATGAAAATATAAATGAACGCAAATAAACGTTAATTTTATATTATTACATTTTCACAAGAGATATGTTTAAATGAGCGCAGAGTCTTTCTCCAAATACCCTAATATTTTACAGCACTTTTAGACAGATATTGTGCAGTTACAGAGTGGACAGGATGTACATGTAATAATATCACATGAATAATATTATCATATCATTGTTTTAAGCTCATTAATGATATAACTCTCAGGAATTGTTGCTTCCTCAGACGTTTTAAAGTGGCTCTGATTGGCTTAAGATTTGAAAACCTTTCTAAATCATTAAATTGTTTGATGTTATTTGCAGGCAGCAATTCAAAGGCCCCACAAACACTGTCCTGGAGTTAAAAATAATTTGCAATATTGGTCAGTAAAATGGTAATTAGATATTTTCGCCACAACATTCAGGCCTCATCAATGCTCTCTGGACGCAATAAAAGTGATGAAAAGCTCAGAATCGACTGTTGGGATCTGCTTCCAGCTTATTACACACACACACACACACACACACACACACACACACACACACACACACACACACACACACACACACACCACACACCACACACACACACACACACACACACACACACACACACACACACACACACACACACACACACACACACACACACACACACACACACACCACACACACACACACACACACACACACACACACACACACACACACACACACACACACACACACACACACACACACACACACACACACACACACACACACACACACACACACACACACACACACACACACACACACACACACACACACACACACACACACACACACACACACACACACACACACACACACACACACACACACACACACACACACACACACACACACACACACACACACACACACACACACACACACACACACACACACACACACACACACACACACACACACACACACACACACACACACACACACACAAAATAAGAGACATCTTAGTCACACATACCCGATCACTTATGCAGGACAGACTGGCACTCCATTCCTCCAATCAGAATCCAGCTCACAGTCTTGAGGGCAGGAGCACTGAGGACACAGACAGAAAGAGAGAAATAAGGAAGGGGGGACATACAACCATTACAAACAGGAAGTGAAAGGTGGGGAAAGCCCCTGATCTAGTACAATGAGCCCACATGTACAGAGATGACATAAGAAGTCAAAAAAGTAAAAGTGATCAGCCACAAGTATTTGATTTGTTCTGACGCACTCATTCCTATTGGAGTTGCCTGCATTTAAGCAGCCATCACATGTAAAATACTAGAAAGATTTTAGAGCTTCATTTCTCACCATAAAACAGTAAACATGTCACATGGTTGCCCTTTGATCTCTGTTTAGAGCGCGTTAGAATTACCCACATGAAAAACGTGCGACATCAATATAGCTGTATCTGATGTCAACTGTGAAGAAAACATCTAACCACACTAACTGTATTTGTTTCCACTGACTACGAATGTACATGTTAATGTTACCATAAAACAACCTCATTTGTATTATTTAAGAAGGATTAGATATACCAGTCATCTTAAAAAACTAATCCAATAACAAGTAAAGGAAGTAATATTTTGAATCAACTCATTAATTCCAAAAATCTTTCTTGTACGTTTGAAACATTTTTCTAGAGAAGAAGCTTGATATTGCTCTGGATGGAGAGTAATTGGTTGCGTCAAACATTTTTGAGTAATTTGTCCAAAAAAAAAATGAAACTCTTAATAGCAGCCTTTTTCATAATTTTGCAAGCTTTTTCTTACATTTTGCAAAAATTACTCCAAAGTTTACAGTAAAATAGTAGTTATTTTTAAATGTGAGGCATGACAAAATTCTCTTTTTAGGCAAGTTTCAACACAACGGATGGACCATTTTTTTGAAATCCTGCTGTGACATTAGAGTTAGTTATCTTTTGGGTTAAAGGTGGGGTATGTAATTTATTTCAGAAACACTTTTTGTTATATTCCATGGAATGCTCTTAACATCCCGATAGCAATGAATATATTAAATGCTTTGATAATAAATACATGTCATCTGTCATCTGTGGAAGCCATGGCGCTTTATTTAAGCAGGTGAATACCATTGAGATCATCGATCTCTTTTTCAAGGGAGACCTGCTGCAAGTAGGTTCCACATGAAGACATAAAACAACAGAAAAACAAAAAGGACATCATACAGCAAAGTTACAGGGATTACAATTTACATACCTAACGACATTTACAGGTACCAACAGTATCCGATTGCATAGCATCTATCCGAGCTTTAAAAATATGTAGTGGAACCAAAATGCTCAGTTTCCATTCCTTTTGCAGACTGTTCCAAGTTAGTGGAGCTGCGCACCTAAAAGCTTTCGTCCCTAAGACAGTCCTAGCACTAGGCACATTTAACAAAACCACATCATGATATCTCAGGCAATAGCTACTTTCAATTTGCCGTGTGATCAGAGAGCAGATGTAAGATGGGAGTTTACCTAACATGGCTTTGTAGATGAACATCATACCAGTGACTGAGCCTCCGTACAGTTAGTGAAGGCCAACCTGCCCTGGCATACAGGGTACCGTGATGAGTTAATACTTTACAGTTAGTAACAAATCTCAGCGCACTGTGATAGGCGGCATCTAACTTGATCAGGTAGGGCAGGTGCATTCATATAGACCAGATCCCCATAGTCCAGCACAGGTAAAAAGGTCACAGAGCCTTTTCCTGGCCTCAAGTGAGAAACAGGACTTGTTTCTGAAAAAGAAACCTAGCTTCACCCTCAGCTTTCTAAGCAGATTATTGACCTGAAGTTTAAAAGAGAGGCAATCATCAAGCCAGATACCAAGGTATTTGTAACAGGAAACCACTTCAAGTACTTGTCCTTGCGTAGTCACAATATCCAAAGTGGTCTCCGGTGTCTTTTTTGGCTTGAATGCCATCATCTGCCACACCGGCTATTTGAGTACATTTACTGAATCCAGAATCGATTTTGAATTGGGGATTATTTTGTAACGTTTATCGAATCAAATTGAACCATTGTATACAGACATATTCACACCCCTAACAAACCTCTGGTATAAAACCCAAAGTCTGATTGTTCTGGAGACTGCATTCACAATGACCTATAAACCCAGTAGTGGTGTTATCATTAGTAAAAAAAACAACTTTTATTTATGATAACATGTTTCTTTTTTACATAAATGATCCATGATTTGTACCACTACAGAAACAACACTTTGTTTATTCAGAAACCTGCTCTTGAGCTAAAAAGCATTCATCTGCAACCAGATAAACAAGTGGGAAGATGCTAATGACTTCCAGATAACGCTTCAGATCATGCAAATGAGGCAGCAGGATGGATGGCTTCTGGCTTTGTCGCTGTCACACGAGTCACGGCTGCATGTGTGGCTTGTTGCCCTGTGATATATGTGTGTACCACTTCTGCTGTTTAATGTGGCCGTGTCTCCGCCACACAATTCAGCTGCCGGTTAATTGGCCTGCTGCTCTACAAGGAAGCGTGTCAAAAACTAAATATATAACTCTGTTTCTGGGTGTAGCGGTGTACTCCGAGCAGACACAACAAACCACAGGCCCGACGTCCCAACTCCTCGTAATGCACCAGAGTGGAATTCCACTGACCCCATTAGAGCGGCCGTTGTTTCCACAGACGGACCACATTCCTGGGCCTGCCATCGACCCCAGATAAGACCCGTCTGATTGCTCCGTTGCATCCCTGTCATTACTTCCAAAAATATGTTGATCCCGACTGACAACTGTCCTTTAGAGGATGTATGGCTGTGCTATTGATTCCCCAAGCCCCTCAAAAGGAGCAATTGTTTTTTTTTTAAAGTTAGGGTTTTTCTACCACCGGTGTCTTTATTAAAGAGACAAATTTCAAAGGGGGTGACCAAGTAAATAGTCGATATAATAATCAAACCCGGGTATGCCAAGCAACTCTACAAGTTTGAATGCAACTCTACCAGGTAAGATATCTAGCAGCCTGTAGCAATTCCTTTTAAAGAGGCCCTATTGACCTAATGACATCACTTTGTAATACTCGCACTTCTATTGGCTAGCGCTCCAACACATTGTACGTGATAGGCTAAGCAGCGGGACATCTCTAAGCGGAGGACCAATCACAACAGAGCAGACTGATCTCTGGTTTCAGACAGAGGGTGAAAAGAGGTGCTGCAGCACAGGCAGTATGAGAAAAATAAAGAGCTTTTTGAACATTAAAGCACGGAGACAAGTCACAGGAGAGACACTAAATACAAATATGACACACTGAAAATGAGCAGAATAAAGCCCCTTTAAAGTTACCCTCACTTTGAAATATACAGCCGGCATCTACTGGTTGCCATGTCTCCCACAAAGTACTCAAGCTTAACTCCATGAAAAGATTCAAAAGAGAGTTTTATGTGCAGTCTCACAAAAAGGATGTTAAAACAGCACTGGTGCGAACACTTAAGAGGTAGCTCCGATTTTAAATCTTTATTGCAAATTAACAAGCAGTGGATTTTAAAATGTGGTTAGGTTTTACTGCGTAATTTGTCTATAAAAAAAAAAGACTAAACAACCAAACACTTTAAGATATACTGCAAACAAAAACGTAGACAAAGTGGAACTTTTTTTTTTACCTCGGACTTTAAAGCTTTCTCACTTTGTGGGCCTTTTGCATGCCAGCTGCTCGACACTTGACTCACTCCTGCTCTGGAAACATGTGGTTGTAATCCCCTCTTTTCACTCAAATTACAAACTGTGTCAGTTTCTGAGGAAACTTCACATCCAGCCACTTTGCAGCATGTGTGTTAATTGCCACTCATTTGTGAGTTTCCAGGCAAAGTAGACAGGCATTTGAAGCTGTCCATCCTTGTTGAGGGTTATGAGAAGGGTCGGAGATTAGGGGAACCAAGGCATGGCTTTTGCGATGTAATTCAGTACGAGCCACATGCTGAACGCTTGTAGAGGCAACATAGAAAAGTATAAAAAATATGAAAGGCTCTGTTTAATAAAACAAAGACTTAAAGTCTGACCTGCCAATTATTATTTTCTTTCCAATAACTATTATTGACAGCATAAAACAACTTTTTCTTAAGTGTTTTAATTGTATGTTTATACATTTCAGAGAAAAAGTCTATACATGGTATGTAAGACTATTACAGGGAGTCAACCATTTATGATAACTTAAAGTGGACCTATCATGCTATATTGGAAAAATATATTGTAGGGCCATACCTATACAAAACATGTCTGTGAAGTTTTTTGCTTAAAATACCAAACAGATCCCCCATTGTAGCCATGCCTCATACTGCTCATACCCCTCTTTTGCAGCCCTGTTAGAGAAACAAGGATTTTGGGTCCTTAGCTTGAAAGAAAAAGAAAGAGGAGGCGGAGCTAATGCCTGATCAGAATTCTACCGGAGATAAAGTTACATTCTGCTGTGATAAAATGCCATCCTGTTCTAAACCACATCAAGGATTATTTCTGAAACAGTATGGAGCTCAAATGCTTTTTCTCTTGCGGGTTTATTACAAGGTGAGTTCCTTTTTTTATTTCCTGCTTTTTAAACACATGTGCTCGAGGTTAGCTCCGAGTGTTAGCGAGGCTTGCTAATGTAAACAAAGACGAGATTACGTCCAAAACACGTCAGGCATTGTTTCCGATAGCAACTTTCTGTGGGTCCGCCGCCGATTTGAAGTAATATCGGCAGCAAATCTGTATCCGCTCGTTGTACCCCCATTTTAAAAAGATTTGGGTACGGAGGAAAAGAGAGAGGGTTTTATTTTCTGACGCTGCGTGAGTTCCCCGACACACCGGGGACACATATTTATGTGTAAAAGACATATAAAAGTGCGTTTTGCATGATAGGTCCCCTTTAAACAAAATATCTATTTACTATAAATAATGTTATTATCACCCACTCACTATTCACGTTTTGTTCAATACTTCAGTAAATACCCCATGTGTCATTCTATGAAGCTTCTATTTGTACGGAAAAAACTGCAGTTGCTAACAAGTGACTAAATAACACTACTAAGCGCCAGCACGCCGAACATTAGCCA